CCCAGGTATCTGGCTTTCAATCACATACATTGAGAAAGAAAATGTTAACCCAAGTAACAATTTTCAAACAATGAATGTGTTATAGATTTTAATTAAAAAAAAAAATTTATTACAAACCGTTCTGCACTCCAGTCGGTTTCAAATCCATTGATTTCAAAAACTTAAATCTGTCAGTTACAAGCTTATATTTTTTGAATCAGCCAACATAACTGTTTCAAAGGAGGATGCATGCGTTTATATTTTACTGAAGGAATCAAATGGTAACAGCCATTTATTTAAAGAATCATTTCCGTTTCATCGGTTTCTTGAATCCATTCAAGAAAGAACCCATGCGTTTTTTGTCTTACTGAAAAGGATTGTGCATTTCTACTTTTAAAATGTTTTAAAGCAATTTGTTAGTACATCTATTTCAAATATTATTTTGATAACCGGAAAAAAAAACATTCATTTCAATTTAATATTTTGTCTCCTCGGTTACATTGTGTGAAGCCTATAAAAAGGCAATCTCCGTCTGTTCCAAGGCTGATTTTTTCTTTTCATAATCCGCACTCCTATTCTAAAAATCACAGCATTCAAACTCTTTTTGGGCAAGGAAAAGGTGGTGGGGTAGAGCTTTCTTTACAAAAGTGCAGTACTTGTAAAGATACAACAAGGAGGTTGGGCTGTTGTATCCTGGGAGCGGCGTGACCATAAAAAATCTGCTGCACCAGTGGCACGAAACGTCCTAAAGAGAGTGATTGATCCACGCCTCAGCTCAAACTCCTCATACTTTCGGTGACATCTTTCTATTTTTTATTTTCATCTTTAATTAATTAATTTTTTTTTGCTAATCTTCTGTCTATTTTTCTTCTATTTATTTTACGAGGAACAACAGAATGTCCTTGAAAAATGTCACACCATCTCGAGATCTATATTGCCAAATAGCATCTGGCTTATAAGACCTAAATTGAGAAGTCAAGAAAATTCGAGTACTTTTGCAACAAATTCAACATGTATGCGCATGCCTATCTTAGAAAGTAAAAATCTTGTGTAGGAATATATATTGTCAACAGATCTATACAAACCTATATGATTAAGTAAATGATTTACTATAAACATACCAGCTTCATATTTGTTTAACAAATAATATAATAACTTCTATATTAACTTTATTGTTTTAAAGAATTAATCTTAGCTACACAAAGCAAGCAAAAAATAACTACCCAAAGGGGATTAAAAGTGCTTCCAACCCCAGGCAACTCTATCAAAAATACACAAGTTATCCAATAGAAGAGTCTTCAAAACTCAACAGCAAGATCAGGAACTTGACACAGCTGAAAACAAGTCCATAATTAGAATTTTGGAATGGCATCTAGATATTATACACCTCATGAAAACAAATAGCTCCAAAAGAACTTCTCAGAGCAGAGATCCTTAAGAGAAGTTCCATCTGCAATATGACACTTACACTCCTGGCATCCTGAAG